TATTTTAAGCACCAAATTCATAGAAAGGCCTCATAACTTAGGATAAAATCAGGAGGGAGGGAGGGAGGGAGGGAAGGGAGGGAGGAAGGAAGGAAGGAAGGAAGGAAGGAAGGAAGGAAGGAAGGAAGGAAGGAAGGAAGGAAGAGAAGCACATCAGTTATTCAAGTAGGCTGCTGAAGTTAGATAAGTGGTTCTGCTCACCTAAAATCCAGTATAAAGGATGAGATGAAAAGAATTTAATGAGAAAGATAGGCTGACTTCCTAAATAAAAAAAAGATGGTTGCACTCTCAAGGCACTGATGATGATTCAATAATGGCTTGATTCTCACTTCACAAGAGTCCTGAAAATGGGAATGTACATCTCAATATGAGAACTAACTTCACCTTGGGCACTATCCCTTTCTTTGCTCATTGTTGTGAATAAAATAGAAACAGATAATTGGTGTGGTTCTCAATTGTCCATAGTCAACCTGAGGGGTGAAGTAAATGCTTTTTCATGTTCGGATTTGGCAGAAAATACAGCAGGTGCTAAGCAGAGAGAAAAACCCTGTTTTCTGTAGCATTTTCCACTTCACAAGCCAATTATTTCCTTTTGTAAGGTTACAGTTGTATCACAAGACTCAAGTTCCATGCTGTCAGATGTTTCCCAGATGTGGGGTAGAACATGTTGCAACTGGTACTATCTTTTTTTATCTGAATGAGTAGGATAAACTTGTAAGAAACAACTTCCAATGTTTTTCCATAGAGATTTTTTAAGTATATAATCTAATTTTTTCCAGTTTTAGAAAATGAGCATTAGATTGAGTCAAGTATTTTAAAAGTGTAAATCATTCATTTTTAAAAATTCAAACATGTTCAAAACAATATCAAAAACTATGACAAATAGTAGTGTACCATCACCACCATCATCATCCCCCAGTGAGGAACTATTTTGACATAGTTGTGGAGCTTGTGTGCTATGTGGAAGATGAGAGCTATACCAGAGGTTCAACCATACTGGACAGGTCTCATCAGAGGAGTCAGACAAAGTGTGTCTCTCCCATAAGATATATGGTGAGATGTAAATTACAGAAAGCCATGCTGGCTTGAATGTCACCCAGGTTAACGAGGTCCATGCTAAATGTTGAGAGTCCTTGGGCATCTGGTGAAAAATGGGCTACAGGACTCAGGACTGCTGGCTGAGCAACCAGGGCTAGCAGCTGCAGAACTACTGGAAGAAAAGCAGGCTGAAGTAAAGATCTGCTGCTCACATTTCTGACCCCTATTTGGCATATGCCACCAAGCAAGGCAGGGCTTCTGTCTGCATGGAAATAGGGGCAAAGGAGTGGTGGGGATGGAAATGGATTATCTGGTGCCAGTTATTGTCAGCAGAAGACTCTGGAAGGGGAGAGAAGGGGTGGCTCTTCTCTCATCCCACAGAGAGAAATTTCATTTATCTTGTAAGATTCATTTCACAGAAGTGTGAGGAAGATTCTAAAAACTTATTTTTTAATTAAACATTTTAGAAAAAGGTTATAAGCAACGGAGATAAAAAGACATGCAAAAATATAAACAATTAAAATACAAAAAGGTAAACAAGGCATCTGGAATGTCCTGGGGATTCACGTTTTCCAATAAATCATTAAGTACTTAAGAATTATAAAATATATTTTATCCCTTTTATAAAAGTAAGGATCACTATTCAGCTTTAAGCCATGAATATGTATTAAGAACCAGGTTCAACGCTGTAGAAATCACTGGCTGGGATTATAACCTACAATAAATGGGATCGGTACTGAGAATCTTCCGAAATTGGGATACCCCATGAAGTTAAAATATAGATTCTATCCTTGGAAAACCCAAATTTTGGATGAGGCACAAATCCATGTGTTTCAGGACAGCCTTCCAGAAAGGCAGGGAAACATGGTTCTTTGGTTTTGCTTGTGTTGCAGAGAAAAGCACACAGTCGTGGGGCTGGCTAGAGCCCTCAAATTCCTAATTCCTGATTATGTCAGGAGACTCAGAGTCATCTTACCCTAAACTAGAGATGGGAGGATCTTAGCCTTTGACCATGCTGTCATCAACACTATCTCGGAGGCACTGTCAATTGTTCATAGCAAGGTTTATATTGGAAGAAGAGGGCCATTATAACATCACTTTAACAGCAGAGCAGTTAAAGGGCAACTTCAGTTGTCCCCACATCTGGCTACAGGCCAAAGTCAGGTGATGTCATGAGGATTGTTGTTTAACATTGATTATCAGTAGTTAGTGAGGGTCTTCAGGCTATTTTTTTTATAAAATGGATACAATTTGGCAAATTTTGTAGCCTATGGAAATCTGCTGTTTTTTCTCTCATACCAACTTTAACACAAATACACAACCCAGTAAACGAACAAATAAATAAATAAAATCCCAAGCAAATTCAGTTTCAGCTGAATGAAGAAGTGTTAAAAGTTGGGGAAGCGTAGCTTGGAAAAGGATTAAGGGAAGACAGAACAGCTTTCTGGGTCTTGTAGTTCTTTCTTAATAGCACTTTGATCTATTCTTCAAGAATGAGCTTAATTCACCCTTTGTCTTCTTTCTGCAGTACTGTCTCCAGAGATACAGCCGGTATCAAAGAGACAAGGGTGAGTAGCCAGCCATATTGCTTGTGTGGATACCAGTAGCAGGACTGGGGATGGGAGGGCAGCCCTTCCTCTGCACCCCAGAGAGGGAGAAAAACTCTCCCTTCAGAACTGCTGTCTCTGGAAGAGGTTCTGAACTCCCTTTCAGTGAGGGGGGGGGAGATGCAAAATGTCTGTTTTCCTGCACTAACAACACACTCCGACACTGCATTTTGAATGGACTGTGCTATTTGTAATGGCCAGATTTAAAGTGCTGTGTCACTGGTGACTTAATATGTAACATTTTTCATAAATATTGTGTAATAGTACTAGTGTTTTTCCATAAAAATACAGAACAAGAGGAGACAAAACAACTGAGAGAAAATCACCTGGAAAAGATGGCAGAGAAAAATGCCACAATCAGAGATGTAGGTAATTCACTTCTCTTACAATCCTGTTTTAAGCTTCTTCTTTTCCTTGCTTATTCGGATCCTGTGATTGATGAATGTTTCTGGTGATTTCTGCATCTTAATTGGAGGAGGAAAATAGTTTTCTGGAAAGTGAAGTCACCAGCCTCACAAGCAAAAATAAAGACTTGAAGGAGAAACTTCTTCAGAGTTGAGAAAGTGAGTATAATTTTAACTTAAGAACATTTTATTATTTTCATTTCAAAAATGAAAATGATTTATTTCTTTTTAGGTTTTGCTTTACAAGTACTAGGTATTTTGTTATTAATTTTCCAGGCTCTGCCCAAGACGAAGAAAACCTCCAAAGTGAGAAACAGCTGGCTGAAAAAAATCGAAGGAAAACATAGGTATTATATAAATAAGGAGGTGTGATTAAATTAGTAACTTAATTAGTGGACCAAATTAGCGGAACAAGGAAATGCTGTGGATGTAGCATATGCAGAATTCAATAAGACATTTGACACAGTAGATCACAGCCTACATCTTGGTAAGATAGAACAATGTGGGATAGACAGAACCACCACCAGATGAACTTGCACTTGGCTGACCAACCATACTCAGTATGTAGCCCTCAGTGAAACTACATCTACCTGGAGAGAAGCCTGCAATGGGATACCTCAAGGTTCTGTCTTGGCCTCCTCAATATCTTCATTAATGAGCTAGATGAGGGCATAGAAGGGGACCTGATCAAATTTGCATAAAATAAACAAATGCACAGAATAGGCGATATCTAGTTCAATAGTAGCAACTATGGGAAGGATCTAAGGATCCTAATGAACCACCCCTTAACAATGAGTCAGCAGTGTGCTACAGTTGCCAAAAAAGCAAACACAAATCTAGGCTGCCTCAAGAGGGGAATTGCGTCAAAATCATAAGTGATAGTACCACTCTATACCACACGTGTGGCCCCATGTGAAATGCTGTATCCAGTTCTGGTCATCACGATAAAAAAAGATGCTGAACATCTAGAAAGAGTGTAAAGAAGAGCAACTAAGATGATAAGAGGCCTAGAGCCTAAATTGTATGACCATTGGTTAAGGAAACTAGCTATGCCTAGCCCAGGGGTGTCAAACTGCCAGCAGACCGGATGCATCATGCAGAAGCCGCGCCCACCCCATTGCTGGCAATGGCAAAACAGTCCTAATACAATGTGCAACGTCATGTGACATCACGAGTTTGACATGTCTGGCCTAGCCTATCAAAGAGAAAGATTAGAGGTGACATAATCGCTGTCTTCCAGTACTTGAGGAACAGTGATAGAGATGAAGGTGTTGACTTATTCTCAAAAGCACTTAAGAGCTAGCAAGAAGCAATGCGTGGAAGTTCTTTAAAGTATGATCCTATCTGGAAGTAAGAAATTTCTAGATAGTGAGAGCAATTAATCAATGGATAGCCTGCCTGTGGAGTGGTGGTGCTCCATCACTGGAGGTTTTCAAGAAAAAATTGGACATCCATTTGTTCAGGATGGTATAACAACTCCTGCTTTGGGCAGGAGGTTGGACTAGAGGACCTCCAAGGTCCTTTCCAGTTGTATGATTCTAAGTGATGAGAAAGCTGCTACTGTTAATCATAGCCATATTATGTATAAGGAAGGGGTGAAGGAAATGTATTCTGTTTTAACCAGATAGAGAAGCTACACTGGAGAGCCCTTAGTGCTCTCTGAGCTTGATTGTTTTCTTCCAGACTTTTCATTACCCAAATAAGTAACATCAGCAGTACACCTTTATAGCCACTTATTCTTCTCTTACACTCCCTTCCCCCAATGAAGAAGGAGCATATTGCAAAAAATGTAAACAACTGGAAGAAGAAATCCAGAGGTTCCAGAAAGAGATAGAGAAAGTGAAAATTGTAAATATCTTACATGCTAGTGAGAAATTAGAATAACCTTAGTAAATAAAATTGTATAATGCATTGAAAGTTAAATTTTGATTGTGCTTCATCAATTTTGTTTCATAGGAAGTAGAAGAGGAGAACAAAAAACAAAAATGATGAAGAAAACAAATTAAAGAAATGTGCACAGAATTCTATATTTGCCTGGACAAAAAAAGGGAACTGGACAACAACAATGGTAAGACTTGTCCTTTCGTTTCTGGGAGAGAAAGAGACAGGTTTCAATTGATGACTCTCTACTGTGGAGAGTCACAATTGAGAATGCCATCTCTTCCTCCTCCCTAGCTGCAATTTTATAACCTTTTAGTAGCACCTTTCTTTGAATACATCAAAAATAGTTCTTATAGAAACAGTATTATTTGATACGATAATATTTTGCATTGCAAAATAAGCAGTTGTAAGATTATAGGTCAATTCAATGTTAATAAAATGCATTTTTTCTTAATGTGGTATAGCATAAAAACAAAGAAATATCCACATAATATTGTTTAAAATATTTGTTTCACTCTTTTCAGATTCTGCTGGAACCTCTGAGAAAAAATAAGACTGTGTCGAAAAGGTAAATAATACAGTTTTTAAGACATTATGTTTTTTTTATATTTGGTAGAAAAGTTATCATAGAAAATTCAGTAATAAAAATAAAATTAATTTTATTGTTTTACAGCAACTTGGTATCAGGAGCCACAAAGTAGCTTTTGCTGAAGGACGGTGTCAGGGTCCCCAAATAAATATATTCTTTTCTCTTCCTATGCTTTACTTGCCTTTGTAACCCTTCTTTGGGGCCTGCCATTCTGTTGGGAGGGGGGATGCTCTGAGATGCCTTACACTGTCTTGCTGTTGTACCCTTCCGCAAGGAGAAGCAATGCATCTCCCTTATCTGGGTGACAGTTGGTGCTTAGAGCCAGAAGGAAAAGAAAGCGAGAGAGACCTTAAAGAATGCGCCAACGGAGCCAGTTACCAAAACAATATGCCACCTGTGGATTGGTTAGAACTCAAATGGACACTGGGACTCTGGGGGAGAGGAGTAATAAAGATTGTTTTTAATATATTATTTGCATGGATTTTTCCCCAGATCTTGTCTTGCCATCCGTACTGTCACTAGTCCCTAATAAAAGTTCCTTTTCAGATAATTCGTCTCAAGAGTTCTGCTTTCTTGGGAGGCTTAGCTGAGGTGGGTCCTTACAGATAGAAGCTTTATATCGTGAACTGATTTTACAAGAAAATAGACATGGAAGAGACATCTGGGTACACAAGTGAAATTGACTACATCATGTCAAGTGATAAAACCATATTCTGCAATTATACTCTCATCAGTCGCTTTAACGTTGGAAGTGACTGTAGAATGGTACGAGCTGAAGTGAAGAAAGACTGTTGAAAAGAGCATATGAAAATTATAAAGACGTCATGAAAAACAAAAATAAAGATTGATAAGCAGTTAGAGAAGAACAGCGATTTTGAGATTAATTTACCAAATGGCTTCATTCTGTTGCAAGATTTGAAAGAGATGAACATTATGGACCAAAATGAACAAATAGCCCAAAGCATCCTTGAATCTGCTATATCTATAGCACCTCCGAAAAACACTTTGTAGGGTCAAAAATCTCTGGTGAAATTATTGATTAAATGAAAAAATGACAGACAAAGAATATTGGAAGTTTCACTAATAAACTGGAGTATGTTGAAGTTTGCAAGACCATAAGAAAATGTATCCAAGAAGAAATGTGTCAGTTTAATATGTAGTTGTGAAAACCGCAGTTGTAGAAAACAAAATACAAGCTTACAAATATAAGTTTTTTGCATTAAAATTTGAAGATGGCTCTGTGTGTAGAACAAGACAATAAATGTTAGAAATAATTGGAAAATTCTATTCTGAGCTATACAAAGATCAAGATCACTCAAAACTAAAACACCCACAAAAGAGGAAATTCCAGATATCCTAGTAGAGAAAGTGTCAAGTCCCTTAAAATCAATGAAAAATGACAAAGCTTCAAGAAGTGACTGTGAGGTGGTTGAAATGCTAAAAGCTGGTGGCTAGCTTACATAAGATGCTAGCAAAACTGTACTCAAGATGACTTAGAGAAGAAAAAATACCTGATGCATGGAAAAATGCTGAAGTGATTCTTATACACAAGAAAGGGGCTCAAGATAATTTCAAGAAGTACCACCCAATAAGTCTTCTTTCAGTCATTTACAAGCTTTCACCAAGATAATTGCAAAAAGAATATTGAGAACATTAAATGATGCTCAGGTAAAGGAGCAGGCAGAGTTCAGAAGGGGTCACAGCACAATGGATCACATCCAGGTTGTTCAGCAAGTCATTGAAACTCACAGTGAGTACACCATGTCTCTGTGCATGGCTTTCATTGAGTATAAAAAGTCATTTGACTCAGTATTCCAGCAAGAAATAATTAATGCATTGCTGAACACACTGTAGACACTGCTTACATAGACTTATTACAATCAATATATGAAAAAACAATGGCGACAATTTGTCTTAATGATCTTAAAGTGGAAATCAACGTAGAATGAGGTGTATAACAAGATGATACAGTATCACCTATCCTTTTTTCAGCCTGCCTTGAAGAAGTTTTTTGCAAACTAGACTGGGCAAAAGATGGAATAAAAATAAATTGTGCCTATTTAAGCACTTAAGATTTGCAGATGATGTTGTTCTCTTCTTACAAGACCCCAAACATTTACATAGACACATACAAGAGCTGCACAAAGCAGGAGAATTATTTGGCTTAAAAATAAACCTGAAAAATAGCCAGGTTATGTTTTATAATTATATCTGAAGAACTAGACATAGTAGACCATTACATATACTTTGGCCAACGGATTTCAATGGAAGATGATACAAAAAAAGGAAACTGAATGGTCTGTTAAATGTGGTTGGCAGGCATTCAGCAAGCTAAGCATAATTTTCAAGAACAACGTCCTCCTATGCTTGAAGAGAAAAGTTTTTGATCAATGTGTGCTACTTGTTCCAACATGGACAGCTAAACATGGACACTAACCTTACAATAAATATAAAAGCTATAAATGGCACAAAGACCCATGGAAAGATACATGCTTGGCATAAAAAAACAAGATAGAAAGACCTGCACATGGATTAGAGTACAAACGAAAATATACGATGCCATCAGAAGAGTAAAATAATTGAAATGGAAATGGGCTGGTCAAATAGCAAAGAAGAACTGATGGCAGGTGGACCAGGGCTGTCATAGCATGGATTCCATTTGACAAAAAGCATCCACCAAAGAGACCTAAAACAAGATGGAGCAATGACATCGGCAAGTATTGTGGTCCCAAATGCCAAAGAAAAGCTCAAAACCATATTGGTTGGAAGCATGCAGAAGAGACCTTTATCCTGAGTGGTTAGACAATGACTAGAATGATGATGATGATGATGATGATGATGATGATGATGACGCTCCTAAAGAAATTGCTTTTGGCATCCCCTTTCCTTCTGGAGGTCAAAGAGAGGGAAAGGCTTCCAGCAATTTGAATGCCAGGCAGGATGGTCATGCCCTGCAAGCTTCTGCCCTGAAAATGTGGGGTGTTAAGAAAGAAAACCTCAAGAATGCCCAGGAGGAAGAGATGCCCAGCATTGCCAGCCAAGTTAATATGTTCCATCTAGCCAAGTGGAAACCATTGTCAGCAATTTGCCTTGTTAGTCAGCAGGCTAGCAACAGCTTAAGAAGGATTCCATGGGTGGAAATCTTAAAGGGGAAAACAACTCACGAAACTAGGGAAAGTCTAAAAAATGAGATTATTAAAGACCAGTCTACCACAATACCACTGAGAAAGAAGATGGCAAGGAGGTGACAGATAGCAGGGAGAAAGATAATAATAATAATAATAATAATAATAATAATAATAATAATCCCCCAGTGAGGCACTACCTTGACGTGGTTGTGGGGCTTGTGTACTCTGAGGAAGATGAGAGCTATGCCAGAGGTTCAACCATACTGGACAGGTCTCATCAGAGGAGTCAGACAAAGAGTGTCTCTCCCATAAAAAATATGGTGAGACATAAATTGCAGAATGCCATACCGGCTCGGACGTCGCCCGGGTTAACAAGGTCCGCACTAGATATTGGAGTTCCTGGATATCTGGTGAAAAATGGGTTACAGGACTCAGGACTGTTGGCTGAGCAACCAGGGCCAGCAGCTGCAGAACTACTGGAAGAAAAGGTGTTTACCCGTCGCAGATACACAGTGATGGAAAACAAAGAAATAATGATCTGTTACTACAGATCAAGTCCAACAAGAAGAGGATATCTAAAACGAATGCACCAGTTCTGGAAAGAACAACATCCAGAATCAGAAATAACAGAACAGAGACTAGCAGATCAACACCGATTTATAACACGAAATAAAGTATTCACAGAAACAGAATTGGACGAACTGCAAAGGTTTACCCAGGGCAAAGAAATCAAAGCCTTACCAGAAGTAATTCAGAATGTAGAGGCAAACCAGGGGGAGTTGGCAGTGAAGGAATCTAGCAGAGATATACAACTGTTCTCATTTGGAAACCAGGCACCTCTACCTCAGGAAGAACAAAACCCTCTAAATAAAGAAATAAAAGAATTGAAACAAAGAATAACTGAGCATCTAGAACAGCACAAAAACAACAGAATAAGGCTACCTGCATTGAAGCTTGTTCCAAAGAAACAGCTAGCACAATCATTAAAAGATGCAAATATTGCAATATCAAGTATAAGCACCAATTCATTGCAAGAAACAAACCAACTAATGTACAGCACAGCTGCAGTTATAACAGAATACCTGGGATGCAAAATCAACAAAGAAGAAAAACAAACAAACAGTGCACCAGAAAAATGGAAGGTAGACTAGAAAATAAGATCAGCAAGTTAAGATCACATGCAAGCAAGCTAGAACAGATGAAAGAAAAGAAGCTGAAGAACAAGAAGACCAAAGAATACCTAATCAAGAAATACCACTTAGAAACAAGGAAGATCAAGGGAGCACTGGAAATAATAAAGCAACAAATAACAGCTATAGCCAGGAAAATCAGTAGATATGAAGCTCGAATTGCAAACTATAGGCAGAACCTCCAATTTCAATCCAATCAGAAACGTTTCTACCAATCCATCAATGGAGAAACTGCAAGGAATCAGTCAGTACCTGACAAGGAAGAAACAGTGCAGTTCTGGAAGCAGATATGGGATAACCCAAGAAATACAACAAGGATGCGGCTTGGTTAAAAGAGGTGGATGCAAATAAAACAGAAGTTGAAATGAAAGAACTAGTAATAACAACAAAAATGGTAGAAAAAAGAGCAAAGAAAATCAAAAATTGGTCAGCACCAGGTGAAGATGAACTGCATGGGTTTTGGTTGAAACATCTAACTGTTATACACCCACTCATTGCCAAACAGTTCAACAATATACTACAAGGAGGAGAAATTGAAAAGTGGCTAACAACTGGGAAAACCTACCTAATAATGAAAAATCCAGCAAAAGGGGCAACACCAGGTAACTACAGGCCAATTACCTGCTTACCAACAACTTTCAAATTACTAACTGGTGTAGTAGCTGATGCAGTACAACAGCATCTAGTTGAAAACAATCTCTTTCCACCTGAGCAGAAAGGAAACCGCCCCAATAGCAGAGGAACAAAAGATCAACTCCTAATAGACAAAATGATCTTGGAAAACTGCAAGAGAAGGAAGACCAACCTGAATGTGGCATGGATTGACTACAAAAAGGCATTTGACTCTCTGCCACATGATTGGATAATAAAGTGCCTAGAAATAACAGGAGTCAGTAGAAACATCAGAAAATTTGTGCAAAGATCGATGGCACAATGGAAGACACAGTTGCAGATCAATGGTGAGAGGCTGGGAGAGGTTAATATCAAGAGAGGAATATTTCAAGGAGATTCATTATCACCATTACTATTTGTTATTGCACTGTTTCCTCTGTCAACAATACTGAATATCTCAGGACATGGCTATCAAACATCAAAAACATCTGCCAGACTATCCCACCTCCTTTATATGGATGATCTGAAGCTGTATGGAAAAACATCATCT